TGAAACGGGAATCATTAGGTCGAAGTGTCTTCACAGTGCAAAATCCTTAATCTTTATTCCGCGCCCTACAGGGTTGATGAAATGCTATTGGCATTGAAATCAGAAGAAAGGAATAAGCTGCTTGGCTCTAGTCACCGCTCTTTCGAATACGCCATGCCTTCAACTTCTTTCAAAAATTGTCACATGCAATCCACAAGTAGCCACTATTGAAGTCATCAACGGCGTTGTATTACCTAATCAGTATATTTACATAGAGTGCAAAGACCGCGATTGCCATCCGTGTGTCCATGTGTTGGGGAACTCCAGTGAGGGGACCGTATTTGGTCGCAGGGGGAAGATTTCGCATTTGCCCGCGAGTGATATGTCTTCGGTTGGTGAATTTTTTTTGCTTTTTCCTGTTTCATGTGCGCTACATGGTTTACATTTGTGATACTCCAGTGCTATGTTGTGGGTAGTTGTTCTTTGAGAGCTGCAGTTCTGCTTGGTGGAGATAGGGGGGGGGGCGTTTGGCTGGTTTCTCTCGTCTTGCGATGCCTCCCGTAGAGACCTGTAAACTCCTGGAGAGCTATGCAGTAGCAGGAACTTTGTTCACAGTTGACCGGAATTTGTAGGTCTCAACAAAGTGTGACAGGCAGTTTTACAGGAATTAACAAAAGGCCCCAAATTATAGGAAAGGAACGAAAGTGCAAAGCGCGTTTTCTAAGCCGAACAGAGGCCATAATGCCATAACCTATGACGATGCATTATTGAAACGAGCTGGAGAAGCGTGGGGTGTCGCTTATGAAGAAAGAGCAACCAACTTGAATTCAGCCATTTCCTCTGGCCATGATTCCTGCATTTTATGCAAATTGTAATTACAGCTTGGCGCCGAACAGATCCATTGCTCTATGCCGTTGTAGGAACGGTAATAGCCAGGCTAGAAATAGAACTTAATAACCCTCCGGAAAAAGCGGTGAAAATAAATCCAAGCAAAGAAATCGTAAGCGAAAAAATCGAAAGGAACAATGATCCGCATCGTCCATGACAGAGAGCGAAAAGGGGCGTTTCGGCTGTGAATCTCCTGATTAACCTTCTTCTAACATCTCCGCATCTCTTTTGTCTAGAAATTCACAGCCATCACCGCTTTGGCCGACACACCCCTTGTAGATCTCAGATATGGATTCCATTTAATTTGTCGTAATATGCTCACCGCTAGTTGTCGTTCGGACTTGCTTTGATCAATTGTCAGGCAGCCCCTGAAATGTGTACAGTTGAGAGCTATTGAGAAAAATCAAAACGTAAACTATCACAAAAACGATTGAGAATAAAAGGTAGTCAGTTAGGCGCCATCGGTAGACAGCCAAGACACTCGCAATTTGCCGCTCTGTCGCGCGCGGCGATGGTTGGAGTTTTTGTGCTTGATTTTTATCAGCCTTTCGACTGAAGCACCGGATCTCATGTAAACAATGACACTGTAGATAATCATTGCTATTTTCCGTTATATGTTGTAGTTGCCGCCATCTCCGACCTAAAAATATCGTCATTGGGGTGCGGGCGCGACGTCGCACGCGATGCCCGCCAGCGCGATGCCACATACCCAGGGTCAAATTCGCTATTGTTGCACAGAATCTAAGGTGCCGTGCGCGGTGAAATACCGCGTTTGTTGTGTCATTTCGGAATATTTCGTGTACATGGGGATGAATGTAGGTTCAAGTAGGAGTAGTAGTTTGTCTCTGAGAAGAAAGAAAAATACTTGGTCGTTAGGGGAATAAGATCGCTGACGTAATTGAGAGGAGGGTTGGGAGTCAGTGAGTTCTGCTACCACAAATGGACCTAAAGGAACACATCGCGATGACATGCGTCATCAAAGCCAATTGCGATGAAAAGTGCATTGGGCCGCAATGGTCACCATTGGAACAAAATCGCGAAAAAATGGCAAGGTAGGGGTTCTCATCTTCGCTCTTTGTGTCATATCTCCTGGCTCATGTCTGGTTTCTCTCCCGTGATAGCAACGAAACAGCACTCCTGCTTGGAACTCGTGGGGCTTTACTTGCGGCTTTCCAACGGTTTATTCCTGCTCTTTTGTTCGCGGGTAGGTGAACTTGCGTGTACACCTCTGTTCTTCAACTTCGCTTAGTATGGGATTTCTAGGGCTACTCAAGAAATGTGTCTCTTACGAACTCACCTGTACACATCACCCTGCGGCAATGCCGAAATCACACAGAATTGCCCTTTACAGAGCTTCCGTATGGGGATATACGGTAGACTTCTCGAAAGAAAATCTGCATGGCATTCAACTAATCCCTCTGTCGGATACTCTGCAGCAGTATCATCAGCCTGAAAGCAATGCATCACAGTTGAAATTCTAGGAAATTGCCTGAAGGATCGCGAGTTATGGTTACTTGCGATTCAGGCGCTGTCAGCTGTCAGCCAACTTAGCCCTACAAAGACCCATCGTTGGTCCCCCCTTTAGAAGTACTATGAAGTGGACTTTCATTTAAGGGGCGGCATTCGAATGCGATTAAGCCTATAGAACGACTTGCCAATGTACAACTTTTACGCTCCTAAGAGTACCTGGGGACGAATTACCCAAACAACTAGGATGTTGGAGGGCTCGACTCAATACTAGATTCGGTTCGCAGACTGTGTAGGCATCCTTCGTCGATGCGCGGTGGGAGAATCAAGTTGACGATGTCACTGACCTCCCTTGTGCCCAGCGTACAGAGCTGGGTTTCGCGTGATTGTGGGGAGGGGGAGGGGGTGGTGAAATGTCATCAGGGGATCGTAGTTGGTTGCTAAGGGAATGGATGGTGTTCTGTTTGGCCCAGATGGAATTTTTCCGATTGTGAATCCCCCATGGAAGTGGGAGGGGTCGTACCGAGGGGAGGAACTTTGCAGGGGTCGTACTGACACTGCCATTACACCATCCCGAGTGTCCCTGTTACTGCTTTCAAAGTCGCTGAAAGTGTCATTCAAGTGGTACTGATGGCTGAAGGCTGCTAGTT